TGATCTGTGGTGTTTCGTTTTGTTTTGGTTTTTTTTCTTAAAACGACAGCAACGTTCTCTTGGCTCTTTGTCATGTGTCGAAGTACCTGGTCGGGTCTTGTGCGGTCTAAGGTTTACCAGTTGGTCGTCCCCGGGGGACCCTCTTACGGCGGAAACTGGGTTCCCCCACGTCCCAGACCCCGAGGATGGGGAGGAAGGTTGCAGTGCGGCTGCCCCGTGGAGACGCTTAGCCTTCCCTCCAGGGCAAAATAGGTCACGTTCTCAGCCGAGCCACGTGGCTGGTACTGCGGTCTTCTGTGCCCCCATCGTGCTAAGTCCAGACCCGCTCAGTGCTCCTCCTCCTGGCTGCGTCCTTCACAGTGCAAGCTTGTCGAGACCCGAGGCCTCAGTTTTCTCATCCAGAAAGAGCGGAGAGAAAAGATGCCCCCCCTGCTCCCTGGCATCTTACCAGCGCTGGAAGGCCACGCAGGGGAGGGAAGCTATGCCTGTCTGTTTCCCCCGCCCCTTAACAACGACCCTATTCCAGCTCTCGGAGCTGGTCCCTGCAGGAGGAATCTTTCTACTTCTGCTCTCAAACCCTTTGGGGATCAAACTGGAATAAATCCCAAACCGCCAGGAGGACTGGGCAGCTGTGAAGCCAGGACTGACCCTCCTTCTGTGCCTCTGTCTCAGGAGGTTGGGCAGATGCTGTGACCTGTTGCCTCTGATCCCCACCCTTCCAGTCGGGGGCCTGGCTGGGCCCAGGGCCAGCAGACGTTGCGAGCCCTGTCGATTCGGTCTTCACGCGTAACCAACCAAGTCTTAGAGCGGAAAGATTAATCTTCGTCGCCCCCTGGGTCCGGCCATCCATCGGATGCCCCAGGGATTCCAGGCCATCAGAACAAGAAGCTGAGCCATGCTGCCCATCAGCAGGTCCTACGCGTGGAACCCTGGGAGCTCAGCTCAGACCCAGTTCTTTGGGGACAGAGATTTGGCATTTCACACGACGGCATCCAGGAATCGGGTGAGCCAACGGGCCATGTGGACAGTTTTGGCCGATGAGCCAGGGTTTCTCTGTGGCATCTGGGAGCACAGTGACCCAGCCACCTGGCTCGGGCCATTTCCAAGTTCCAAAAGGTTGGCTTGTCAACCTTAGCCTCCCTCTCTCCTGCCCAGAGAAGGCACATGTGCTTGAGTGTGTCCCATGTACGTGCACGCGCACCCACGTAGGCACACAGAATTTTAAGAGAGTGTTTCCTTGGTGCCATTTTATTTTATTTTATTTTGAATTTTGGAAGGGGAGGAAGGGAATGAGGCCAAGGAAGTTGTGCAGCTTTAGCTCCGGCCTGGCAGCCTGGAGATTCCCATACCTTGTGTATCGAACCCCAGGAAAAGGAAGAGGTCGAAACAACACTACGGAAGGAGCGTGGTTTCGGGAGTTTATTTTAAGACTGCTAGGAAGGAAACAGGCCCCATTTTGTATATAGTTGCAACTTAAACTTTTTGGCTTGCAAAATATTTTTGTAATAAAGATTTCTGGGTAACAACGACCAGTTTGGGTGTGGAGTGTCTTTGTCTTTGGGAGTGTGCCCCTCCCCGTCACCGCCACCCGTCCTCGTCTCGGGAGCCTGCGAGAGGATCGCGTGCGGCCCCTAGGGCTTGGGGACTGCAGGGTTTGGACCTCTCTCTGGGGTTTTCTAGACACAAAGACTTTGTTTCCCCTGGCTCAGAGGGAGTCGGCGGAAGGTTGTGCCCCAAACACCTGCGTAAACAGAATTCTGACAGACCACCGCGGTCGCATCCCGGCTCTGCGACTTTGCAGAGTTGAAACAGCTCACCTCCCAGAGACTCAGGCCTGTCACCGGCCCAAGGGGGACAGTACTACCCGCAGCCAGGGTTCCCGTGCGGATCAAAGGGGGGCCGGGGGGCACCGAGCCCCCCCACTTGCCACGTGAAAGGCCTTCGCTTAAGCGTCGGTCTTTCCTTCCTGCCCTGGACATCGCACAGCTGGGACCGATTGCCCCTCCCCACCTCTGGGGTCTTGGACAAGTGGGTCACCCGCCCCCTCTGGGAACCTTACATCCCCCCTCGACCGAAGGCAGAAACCCAGTGCTGGGCCTTGAATATCCTCGCCAGAGGATTCACGTCAAGTACTACCCCGTAGTAGGTGTTCACCAAGTGTTGGCTTCCTTGCCTCTCTATTAGAATATTAATAATATTAACGACAGTTATATAACGATGGCTATATGATATTGACAAGCAGTGCTTACCGTGTGTCAGCACTCTGCCTTGATCGGCCCCTTCAGACCTCACAGCCGGAGCTAGGTATTATTACTGACCTCACGTAACAGGTAAGGAAGTGGTTTAATTTATCCAGGGTCACACAGCTAACCAGTGATGTCACTGGGACGCAGACTCCGGCCCTCTGACCTCAGTGCCCAGCCTCTAACCCCTGCGTCCTCAACTGGTACAATCATGTACTGGCATTGGCCGTGAACTATGGGAAGTCGCGTGCCAAGTGCTGCACAGTCGTTGGCCTCATTTGATTCCCCCCCCCCCCCCCGCCGCCCCGCGACCACCATAGGAGGTTGGAACTCCCATCATCCCTATTTTACAGATGCGCAAACCGAGTCACTGAGCGGTGAATTCATTTCCCCCAGCGTCCCATGGCAGAGCCTGGCCTTGAACCCGGAGAGTCTGGCTCTTCCAAATCACATCGCACTGCTTCGTTCAATTATAGCCGTCAGCAGGGGGTTGTGCCCATTCTGCAGGGAAGGAAGGTGGAGGCTAGGGAAGTGCGGGGGACCTGGAGATCCCGCGCGAATGAACCTGTAGTCGAGTTGGGACTTGGCGCTTGGATCCACAGGCCCACGTGGGATCATCCCCGAGCCCTTGGCCTGAGGCACGGGTTCAGGGACCTAAGACACTTTAGGCAAAGAGCCTCCCGTAGGGTGTAGACAAGTCACCTGCCTCACAGGCCAGGACCTTGGCTGTGGCAGAAAACTCAGCTCTCAGCCTCCCTCAGGGCCCAACCTGGAAAATACGTGTGCCGCTAGCGGGGATGAGGTGTTCAAGGCATGCGTCCAGGCCGAGTGGGTGGAGAAATGTCTGCCTTTTTCTGGGAAGGGCCGGCGGGGGGGGGGGGGGGGGACGGACTGCGTGTCCAGGCAAAGAGACTTGCAGGATGGATTTTATGCAGCACCTGGGCCTTGCTTCTCCAAGGCCCAAATCTCCAGGGCTGCGGGCTGGCAGGCGGAATGAAAGTTGATAGGAGCCAAGTGACCCTCTTCCTGCCCGCCAGGAAATCAGTCAAGCAGTTGGCATTTATCGGGTACCTCCTCTGGTTCCGCGTTGTGCAAAGGAGAACCACAGGACTCCATCGACCTCCTCCAGCCCCCTCCAACCCAACCCCCACCACGCGAGGACCCAGAGGGCATTTCCGGCCCCCTTCCCCCCCCCTTTACGTGATAATCAGCAAAATCTCTGCCTTCTCCACGAGATTCTAACGCCCCACTGTGAAAAACCCTGCGTGTTCTAGCATATTCCCACCAGCCAAAATTGGACTGAGGTTTGTTTATTTAATTTTTACATAAGCGCTTTTTTTCGTGTCGGTCTCCTAAACTCTGTATAAGTATTAACTTATTTAAAATCGATTCACTCCGTCCTCTTAACAAACCTACAAGGTAGGGGCTATGATGATCCTCTGTTTAAGAAAGACATTAAAGCACAGAGAGATGGCACATCTTGTCCAGGGGCCACCCGCCGTCCAGGAAGTGGCGTCACTGTGGGTGTGCGTGGGCACCGGGCGGGCGCGACAGGGCCGGGGGGCGGGGGGGTTGCTGGAGACACAGCAGGGGGCACAGACGTGTTGGCAGGCACTGGGCTCTGCTGGGAGCCAGGAGACACCACGTGGTCTCTGCCACCAAAACATCAGAGTATCAGGGCGGCCCCTGTCGCCTGCCTGGTCAGCAGCCCTGCTTGGGCTTCCCTGGGGCTCAGCCTGCCGCCAGTGGGGTCTCTCCTGCCCTCCCTTAACCATGGCACTGTGTTTACTGGGGTCTGGGCTTGTTTTCCGAATGCGAGACTTTGTAATTGAAAACACTGGGGCGCCTGGGCGGCTGGGCCTCCCACTCTCGATTTCGGCTCAGGTCATGATCTCACAGTTCACAGGGTCGAGCTCCACGTCGAGCTCTGCCCTGACAGCACTAGTCTGCTTGGGATTCTCTCTCTCTCTCCCTCTGCCCCTCCCTGCTTGCCCATGCGTGAACTCTCTCTCTCTCTCTTTCTTTCCAAATGAATAACATTAAAAAAAAAAAATTCAGGGGCGCCTGGGTGGCGCAGTCGGTTAAGCGTCCGACGTCAGCCAGGTCACGATCTCACGGTCTGTGAGTTCGAGCCCCGCGTCAGGCTCTGGGCTGATGGCTCAGAGCCTGGAGCCTGTTTCCGATTCTGTGTCTCCCTCTCTCTCTCTGCCCCTCCCCCGTTCATGCTCTGTCTCTCTCTGTCCCAAAAATAAATAAAAAAAGTTGAAAAAAAAAAATTAAAAAAAAAAAAATTCAGAAAATGCTTTCCGAAAAGACATGTGCCCCAGATGTCCCAAAACAGGCAAAACCTTGGAAACAGGGGTGGGGGGCGGAGGGGGGTGGTGGGGGACGATCCTTGTAGGGAGGCAGCGATGGGAAGGGGTCTGAGGAGCCCTCCGGGTGACGGGAGGTCCTGTATCTCCACGTGAGTGGTGTTATGTGGGGGCTTGTGGACATTAATCTCCGTCAAGTGCACATTTAACGTGTCTGCATTTCCCCGTGTAGAAGTCAGACCCCACAAGAGACCGGTGCCCCTTCCCCCTGGGGATTCACCCCCCCCCCCCCCCCCCCCCCCCCTCAACTGTGGTTGCCTGCCCCGACCTGACAGTCCTGGAGCCCAGCCCGGGGCCTGGCCCCGGTGAGGGCTCTGGGAACGTGGAGAGATAGCACCCCAGTGACCAACGGAGCAAGCAGAACAGGAAAAGAAAAAGTGCAGCCTTTACAGGACAAGCCATTTATCTGTCATCGCTCTGCCTACGGAGGCTGCCTCCCCGCCTCGCCCCACGCCTACGCCCTCCTCCCGCCACCCAGGGCTACACAGGCGCGGGCGGCTGCAGAGTCCTCGCCTGTGACCTTGAGCCGGTGGCTTCACCTCCGAGCCTCGGTTTGTTCTCCTGGGAAATGGGCTGGACCCTTCACCTGCAGGTTCTAGCGAAGGTTAAATAGAGAATAGATCTAAGACCTCGGCAACGGCGTGGGGCAGACAGCAGTCAACACACACACATCCACACTCACCTCCCTCCCCCCCACACACCGCTCACACATACATTCACACCCGCGCGCCAAGGCCAGGTTCTCAGAGGAGCTCAACAACGGTGGGTCTCGCCTGCTGGCTGAAATAATCTTACCAGGTCCCTCCCTCCCTCCTTAGCCTGGGGTGGCTCCCTCTTACCAACTCTGGGGAATCCAACACCCAGCCCGGCCTCTTCCTCACGCCCCCTCTGACCTCTTTAAGGACACCTCCTGCTCCCCCTCTGTCCCGTCTGCACCCCCCCCCCCGCTCCCGCCAGCCAGACCGTGAGCCCCCCAACACCAGAATATCACTTCCTGCCTTGGAGATCCAGCCCCTGGGAGAAGGGAGACTGAAGCCCACCATGTGCCAGACAGGAGCCCACCCGGGCACCTGAATTCTTCACGTCACCGAACGTTTACTTCCGCTGGAGATGGGTGCCGTGAGGTCCATTTCACGGATAAGACAATGGAGGCTCGGAGAGGAGAAGAGACAAGATCACTCATGCAGCCAGTCATTATTTCTCCGGCTCCGGCTGTGAGCCTAGCCCTGCAAACCTCCAGGGAAACCAGGCCGACGGAAGCTAGGCCACACCCTTATGAGCTCATGGGGTGTGCGGGGGCCAGAGCATCTGGACGAGGTGTCCGTGTGTAATTTTCGAGAAGTTACGAAACACGATGGATGCCAAAAACAGAATAGCAAAGCCCAGCTCAGCTGCGCTCTTTGTGGGGTCAACTGATTCCACAAAGGTCAGGGACCTTTCTCAACAATGCCCGAGTATGGCACGGAAAGGAAGTTTCACCTTCTTTGCCTTACTTCCAACTACCGGATGCTTTTTCTTACTGGGAGAAAGTTCCCAGGCCTCACTCAGTGTGCATAGGGCAATAAAGGCTTTCACGAGAGGAAACCCTGAGCTGAGGCCTAAAAGACGAGTAAGAATGCACCGGATAAAAAGGGTCCGAAGGAGTCAGGGCTGCGCAGAAGCAGCCCTTCCCCGTGAGGACTGGCCCCTGCCAAACTCTGCAGGCCTGTCTTGCATCACTCTCCCTATCGCTCCTTGCACTGGCAACACCAGCCTCCTCGCGGTTCCTGGAATGAACCACAGGACCTTTGCACATGCTACGCCCGCAGCTTGGAACCCCTGCTGGGCCTATTTCCTGTTTGTCTTCCAATGCCCAACCTGGGAGCGTCCCCTTGTTAAAACAACACCATAACGACCCCGTCCAGGACCTCTCTTTGTAACCCTGGTCACTGTTTCTGGCTAGTGACCGTGGGATTCCTTGATTAACATCCCCCTCCTGCACTGCCCTGGGAGCTGCCTCAGGGCACAGAGGGTGCTGGCTATGCTCACCAGTATAACCCCTGTGCCTAGTCGGTGTGATGCACCCCATAAATATTTGTTGGATGGATGGGAAGGAGGGAGGGAGGACGAATGGGTGGCTGGATAGGTGCAGGGAAGGATGGATGTGTGGGTGGGAAGGAAGGGAGGGAGGGAGGAGAGGAAAGATGAGGAAAGGAGAGCGTGTGGAAAAGCCCAGAAGCTGGAGCCTGCGGGGCATCTTAGGAGAACTGAAAATGCCCCAGCTGGCAGGTTTGGAAGCGGGCTTCAAACCCCAATCCGGCTGACTTTGCCCACTGAGTCACTCTGCCTTTCATCATGATCCCGTGCTCAGAGCTGTCCCTTTTCTCAAAATGGAGGCGTGCCCCCCCCCGCCGCCCCCCCACGACAGGCAAGGAGCCAGTGACCGCTGTCTGAGCCTTTGATGCCTCCTCTGGGGCCGCGCTTAGAAAACCCGATGCGAGATTGCAGAGATCTCCCTCCGCCGCGAAACTGCACCACCCTGCTGCGGCCGGCCCAACTTGGAAGCTGCCGGGGCTGCTGGTGTCCTCCCGGCCCCCCGCTCCAAGGACAAGAGGCCGGGCCCTCGTGGCGGAAGGTGCCGTCCCCAGCCACCCGGGCCATCTGCCCCCGCGGGCCCGCTCTGGGCCGGGTCAGCTGGTGCGGCAGCCGGTCGTGGTCGCGTGGATCTGGGCCACGGAGCTGTCTCCAGAAGGAGGCCGGGTGAGGGCTTAATGGCAGGCAGGCTGTGGCCCGACAGAGGCTGTGGGCTCCGGTCGGCCCGGGTCCCCAGGGAGGCCAGCGAGTGGGCCCCGTGCACATGCAGATGAACGCGTTACCGCTGATATCACAGTGGGGGGGGGGGGGGGGCGGGGAGCAGAGGCGCTGGGGCGGCCGGGCCCGGAGCTGCCGTTACCCGGGGACCTTTCGCTGGAAAATTTTTCTTGGGACAATTAAATCTTCAGCTGTCTCCTCGCAGGGAGTGCCTGCCTGCATCGTAATTACCCTTAAAAGAGGGAAGTAGGGGAAAGGACACGGAGGCGAAGAATTAAAAAATAACAAATCTGCTTTATAAACACAGCCAGCATGTCGCGGGTGCGCATCTACTCAGAAGGCTGCCCCCCATCCCCCGCCCGCCTCCGTCAGCCCCGCAAAGCCCTTGACCCTTTGCACTCCGGGCTCCCTGGGACGTTGAAGGGGGGCCCCTCTCCGGGGGGCGGAGGGGGGGGGCGTGTGGGGCAGCAAGGGGGTTCAGGGTGCTGCCTGGCCCTCACCACAGTCCACGAGGTGGAAGTTGCTGACCTTGGTTTACAGATGAGGACACTGGGACTGAGAAAGTCACCGGCCATAGCGAGTGACGGCAACAGACAGGAGCAAGGTAGTGATACGTGCAACACGCGGACGGGTCTCAAAAACCATCGTGCACCAGGAGCAAGACCCGAAAGGGTGCCCACTGTGTGAGTCCATTTACGCCACGATCTAGAACCGGCAAAACTTAAGCTCCCCTGACAGAAGGCAGAGAAATGGGTGCCAGAGAAGGGAAGGACGTTGGCGGAAGGGGCAGAGGGAACTTCTGGGGAGGTGGACATTGTGTCCTTTACGTTGACTGAGGTGGTCCTTACATGGGCACAGGTGGCCATCAAAGCTCATGGAACGGTGACTTGAAATGAGTGCCTTTTATTGCTTGGAAGTTCTACCTTAATAACGTGGATTTAATAATAACAAAATAGGGGCTCCCGGATGGCTCAGTCGGTTAAGCGGTCGACTTCCACTCGGCTGGTGAGCTCGCGGTTCGTGGGTTCAAGCCCCACGTGGGGCTCTGTGCTGACAGCTGGGAGCCTGGAGCCTGCTTCGGATGCTGTGTCTCCCTCTCTCCCTGCCCCTGCCCTGCTCATGCTCTGGCTTTCTCAAAAATAAATGAACATTGGGGCGCCTGGGTGGCTCAGTCGGCTAAGCGGCCGACTTCGGCTCAGGTCACGATCTCGCGGTCCGTGAGTTCGAGCCCCGCATGGGGCTCTTTGCTGACCGCTCAGAGCCTGGAGCCTGTTTCAGAGTCTGTGTCTCCCTCTCTCTCTGACCCTCCCCCATTCATGCTCTGTCTCTCTCTGTCTCAAAAATAAATAAACGTTAAATGAACATTAAAAAAAATAATAATAAAATAATGTGACTTAATGTTTATCTAGACCTTCCTCTGTGCTAATCCGTGTCATAAGTGCTTTCCATATGCTAAGCTATTATCCTCCACACTGATCTGTGACACAGGCACCTTGGGGGCCCCATTTCCCAAGTGAAGAAACCGAGGCACAAGGGAGTTAAAATTTCCCAAGGTGATAAGGCTAGTAAGAGGCAGAGCCTGGGTTCAAATCCAGATGGACTGACTACAGGGCCATACAGTTTTGTTCCATTTTGGTTTTTAATGCTTTTTTTTTGTTGTTGAAAGAGAGAGAGAGAGAGACTTTGAGCAGGGGGGGAACAGAGAGAGAGAGAGAATCCCAAGCAGACCCCTCCCCATCGATGCAGAGCTGACCTCATGGGCTCAAACCCACAAACCGGGAGATCAGGACCTGAGCGCAAATCAAGACTCTGACACTTAACCAACTGACCCCCAGGCGCTCCAGGGCTGTATAGTTTTGAAAGCAAAGTTCAAAGTCACCCAATTAGTTGGTCTTAGAGGCGGGGTTAAATCCCAGGGCCTTTCCAACATGGGGAAAATACATTCATTCAAGAAACATGTACCCGGCGTCTCCTGTACATTATACTGTGGACACATGGGTAACAACAGAAAAGTCCCAGGCCTTTGGGGGTGTCTCTGGGGGAGGGGATCACCAAATAATCCCCCAAATAAAGGTGGAGTTGCAGTCAGCGACGAGTGTCGGAAGGGGTGGTTATAGGAGCCCAAATGCACCATCCGAAGGGGGAGTTGGGAGTTCCAGCGAGAGCACGCCCTCCTTTTGTATTCGTGTGGAGACAGCAGGGCCCTGGCTTGCACCGAATTCCCGAGCCACCTGCCCCTAACTTGATTTCCCTTCCACACTGTGTATTCCTGTGTATTCCGCTGACACGGAACAAGTTCGAAAGCCTTGTCTTTGAAGAGATGTGACAAAGGCCCTTTGAAATCGCCTGCCCGGCTCTTAGCACCTTGAGCCCCAGGCTCAGCTATTCCAAGAATGGTCCCTGTGCCTTCCCCTGGCCGGGCGGCCCAGGGAGTCACATTCCAGCACAGTGGGAACGCTGGAACGCTGGGCTGGGCGACAGCTGGGAGTGCCTGCCCTCCCCACCACCAGGAGGGAAGAGCCTGGCCTCAGGCCAAACACTCAGGCCCCTGGGAGACCCTGGGTGGCCTTGGCTCCAGGAAATTGAAAGCAGCTTTCAGGCGACAAAGGTTACAGGCCTGTTCCCTGAACGTTTACAACTTTGCTGATAGCTACCAGGTGGTGAGGGCCTGAGCGGGGCGCTTTGGGTACAGTATCCTGGTGACTCCTCTCCTAGCTGTAGACCACCACCCTGGGGTCCCAGGTGAACACGGAGGAGGGAGTGCAAGTGCTATAAGAACAGTGCACCTGAGCCCCTCTCCGGCCATCCAGGGCTTCCCGAATCTCATCTCAGCCCATCTCCACCCGCTGAGATCATCCCTCTACGCCACCGAGTGGATATTTTTGGGAAGTCGGACGGTCAGGCTGGAGCCACGGCAGGAAGCTTGGGGTTTCTCTTGAGAGAAGTAGGAACCCTCTAGAGCAAGGGAGCAGCCTGCCCCAATATGATTTTTTACAAAACAAAACACAAGAAACAAAAACCCTGCTGGGCAGGAATGGACTGGAGGAGGAAATAAATAATGGAAGAAGGAGGATCGTCATGAACTCCTCATTGATGGAGGTTTGGACCGCATCTATTTATTTCCTCTTTGCAAACAGTTTTGCATGCACATCACTGCGCAGAAGTCCCTAGAAGTGGGATGGCCGGACTGAACACGCGGGCATATCTTTCATCATATCCAGATTGCCACGTTGCGTTCCGCGTCGTCCCCATCGTACGTGTGGGCCTCCCAGCCTCCACCCCGAACTGCTGCGCCCCCGGCCACACTTTGCCCGACCTCTCCCGCCCTGGCCCAGACCCCCAGAGTCCCGAACGCATTCGGAGCTCTCGTCGCCATCTGCAATTACAAGTCGTCGAGGGGAAAATCTCAGAATCAGGCTAAGTGGTGGCTGAAAAGACCGCCCAGGGGCTGCCTTTTCCAGTGCGAGTCAGACACAGGCCTCCAACACCCCGAAGAGGCCGATTTACCCATATTCTTCCAACCACAGAGAAGCTGCTTTTTTGTTGTTGTTTTCTTCCGTTCAGCCGTGAAAATAAGGCACAGTGCTGAGATGACATTGAAAACAGGCCCTAGGGTTATAAATGACGGAGGGCTGGTTGGAAAACCCTTCTCCTGGCCGCTCTCTGGACACCAGGAAAGGAGAGAGCTGCTGTCCTCCGAACTCTCTGCCTCCCACCCCTCGGGGGCCCCGTCTGGCTTCGTCAGAGTCCTGTGGCCACGGCCGCCACCTGCCAGCCAGCCTCCCGGCTTCCATTCCACGCCATCTCCACTGCTAGGTTTCCTTTCCGTAAGTGGCCTTTTAAAAGAGAGCGTCCTCTAATAATCAACAGCCCAGCATCTGCAGCAGTGTGGAGGCATGCTTTTCCAACGTTCGTATCATTTCGGGTTTATTTCTGTTTATTTGCAGGGAAGGGGAAGGAGGGCTAAGACTCAGCGTTTCACAACCAGTGTGCATGCGGCATCTGATTTTAATCTTGGCATTTGGAGATGCTTTTGAAGATGGTGTATGTTATCTTTCTAAGACTGACCTGGTGAGTTTCTTGAAAGAGGATTTTGCAACAGACTCGTCTTAATATTTTATCTTTTAAGACAAGGGACTTTTTCTTTCTTTCTTTCTTTCTTTTTTTTTTTTTTGCCCCCATCGCCAAACAGCTGGATAGCAAACTCTGACACAGATAGGAATTATTATTCATTAACTGCTTATGAGCTGTCAGCTGCTAGAGGGGACCCGTTGTCTTCTCAGAGACTCTATCAGGGAGGTACGGGTCTTGGTCACATTTTACAGGTGAGACACCGAGCCATGGAGCAGCTAAGTTACCCAA